TGAACAGAATACACTGCGAAAGGACATTGTCTTTCTCCTGTAAGGTACAGTAAAATTGCTGCCCTGCATAAGCAGCATTTAACATTTGATTTAGCTCTATGGATGTGATTAGCATTTTGTAGACATGCAAAGATTCCCAGATTAGATACAAGAAAGGATCTCATGGAGAGGAAAAAGGTGTTGGGTGTTATACACAAACCCCCACAATCCACCTCAACTAGGTCTCACTCGGAACAAGCCAAAAGTTCATTAGAAACAATCACAGGTTTTCTTTTTCCTCTGCAGAAAATGCACTAATAGGCTGTTTGTATACAATCCCAAGAAAGGAGACTGGAGAGACCTGGCTCCAATGAAAGTGGCTCGCTCGATGTTTGGAACAGCTGTCCATAAGGGCAAGATTGTCATTGCAGGTGGTGTCACTGAAGAAGGCCTCACTGCATCTGTTGAAGCTTTTGATCTGACCACCAATAAGTGAGTGCAATATTCAAGCTATTTTTAAGCAAGTGTTTTATCATCTAGGCTTTTAGGAACTCTGAGGTAAGAATCACAAGGGTGTTCAGGTGCCTGTACTCCCACTGAGACACTTGGTCTGCACTCACATCTTTAGCAACTGCCGCAGCAGCTTATAGAGCTTGTATCTCTGGCATTTTTCCTGTCTGTCCCCCCGCATTTTCTATGCTAGCATAGCTACATTGCAAATATGATCCAAGAGCTCATACAGTGAAAACAACCCACCCTCTAAGCTTTTTTTTTTTTTTTTTTTTTTTTTAAACAAGTCTGTTTACTTTCCCAATTTAGCTGACCACACAGCCACATAAACAGGTGTGCTGGCACAATAGGGGAGAAGTGGGAGAGATGGACAAGGGCTGCGCAATCTACTTGAAACAGCACTGGCACTGAACATGAAACCCCAGCAAGAGAATTGGGTGCCTGAACAGGACTAGCTGAGCACTTCGGGCACATGGCCTTGTGGCGTCTTGCTGTTCACTTACCTTGTCACAGCAAATACAGTTTACCACTAGTCAGTGACAGGCAAATAATTCTGCTTATTTATTTAATATGAAAACTCCAGGAACACTTTCAATTTTAAGTGCATGCTCTGAAATACTATAAAGTAATGACAAAAGAGGGTAAGTCAAACCTGGAATTAGCTCACTTGTTTGGTCCAGATACTTTCCAATGTTACGCCTCACAGTCAGAATCTTTTGCAGTCAGCATCCCTCAAATGTTTATGATTTTCCAGGTGTTTATACTCTCTGTATCCGTGTCTTTCTACTCTTAATTTTTCTGTTTGTTATTTTTGTTACTTCTCCTTCCTATCGTCTTATTTACAAACTTTCATTTAAAATAGTATCAGCAAAGCTTTATTATGACAGCTCAAACTTGTACGTGGTCCTGGATGGACCTTTGTTTTATTAATAAGCACTTGTATATAAACACATTGGGCTGTGCTGTCTTCACTGACAGGTGGCATTGCAGCCATCAACCTAACAACAAAAGCTTTAACTTCAATGCTATCCCAAAGAGACTTGCATATAAAATTTAACAACACAAAACATGAATTATGCAAGAAGTAATTCTATGAGGGAACTTTGGATTTCACACCTTCTACAGAAAGCAAAGGAAAATAAAGGTAATTTTTCATGTGTTTGTTTAACTTAACTTAGGTTTTTCTTTTCATCTTTAGGTGGGAGATTATGCCTGAATTTCCCCAGGAGAGAAGTTCCATCAGTTTAGTCACTTTAAGTGGAGCGTTGTATGCTATTGGAGGTTTTGCAATGATTCAGCTTGAATCTAAAGAATTTGCACCCAGTGAAGTCACTGACATATGGAAGTAAGTTTAATTTTCATCACATTTTCCTGGCAGAAAGCCATATCTAAAATTGAGGTTTGTAGACACTGGAGGGTAAAATTAGTTTTCTGTTTAACTCTGGAAATGAACCATAGCACAGGTTGTAAAGCACTCGCTGACAGATAGAAATGTTTGTCAGAAAGTAACAAATAAACATGAGACTTGGATCTAATGACTACTTCCACCTACTAATAATTTGAACAGTCTGAGGTATGATCTTAAGATTTTTTTACTCTTTAAAAGAGTAAGTTGCCATATATCTCTTGGCAGGTTTAGCCTTGTAAGTGTACCAAAAAAGCATTCACTGTTTCGTGACATTCTTATGCAGAAAAGCCTCTCAGAGGTTTGTACATATTCATGTGTTTATAGTCAAATGAGCAGTTGTTCCAAGAGAATCAGAAATGCCAGTCTCCTAGATTACTTTTTTTAATCTAAATCACAGTAGCAATGATGAACCATCACATCTCTGCTGTGACTCTTCAGTAGCTAAGGTAAATTCAGGAGTTTTAATTGGCAGAAGGATAGGAAGGATTCCCAGAAAAACCACCTTTATATGCAAGAATCTGAAGGAATTCAGAAAGGATACTTAAGACAAGGAGAAAGCTTTTATAGGAGTAATTAAAGGATGACGCAGGCCAGCAATAAGCTTTAGGGACCAGGAAAAGGACAATTCATGTGCGCAAGAACATTTCTGTTCTGGAGGACAAAAGCAGCCTTTTGTGGCATCCTTCAGCATGTGGTTGCTACAAGCCTTTGCAACGCGTGGACTGTCCTCCTTTTCATGTATGTGTGATTGAAGCATCAAACTCAAATTTTAAGAAGCTATGTTCTGACCTTATTTTGTTAAATGCAGGTATGATGATGAAAAGAAGGAATGGATTGGCATACTGAAAGAGATCCGATACGCTACTGGAGCCTCCTGCCTGGCTACACGCTTAAACCTCTTCAAGTTATCAAAACTGTAAACAAAATGCTGGAAAATGTGATATGGTGAGGGAGTTTCGATAGGCTCTTCTGGTTTTATTGCATGAAAATGTCCCCAGATTGTACAGAGTTTTGTAGCAGCATACTAGTTACACTGTTAACCGTTAAACAGTTCATCTGTCTGTCCAAGTCTTAAGATATTTCCTAGCTAACCAACAATGGAATTTTTGCCAACATTTAAAATGCTGAAGAATTCCAATTAACGTTTATTAGAATAAATGAAGATTTCAGAGAGAACTCCATTTTTCACTCTGTGAAATTGCCAATAAAACTAGTTAGACTTCCTTACACTCAGACAATCCAGGATATTGGTGGCTTACCCTCCAAACAATGCCCATGAATTAATTGTTAAGTTAAATACAATTAGTAGGTAGCTAATTTTATTCTAACTGGCTGTTTGTACAGCCTGATTTTCCCCCTTCAGCAATGTATGTAAATCCTACATTCTTCAGCCGTATCTTGAAAATATTTTCCCTAGAGCCTTCTAAAAATAATTTAGCTTGGAATTGAAGTGCATATTGAAAACAAAAGCGGCCTAACACTATGGGGCCTAAGAAACGCCAGTCTCAGCCAAAGCTGAACTAGTAGCCAGACATAAGGAAAGAGAGAAGTTCACAAGGTGAATAGCTCTACTGTTTCACCTACTGTGTTCAGGCTTCTGGTAATAAGGATTTTCCACTTTTTTATGTGTTTGTATTTATTTCCAATCAAATATTTTATGGAAGTTTTTCTCAAGAGATCTGAGGCCATTAACAAGCATTCATGAACAAGTCCTAGAATTGATCATCAGCAAGTATGTATGGCAGAGAGGACTCTTCCATCTAATAAAGGGTTGATGCATTTTGATTTTTGAAACTTTTAACAATTAAACTTTGTTTTTAAAACTGTGAAACTATCACTTCATGGTGTCTCTTTTAGTGATCAGCTGATCATCACTATCATATTGACAGGACACAGATTTTAGTACAGCCTTTGCCTAAAACAGAGCATTCCGTTTTCTTAAAGTAGAGCATGCCCACCATTTTTATAAAGTATCTCTTCAAAGGATTTCGACATTGAATAAAGAGGGTGTCATAAATCTAAAGGGTGTCACAAATCTACATCTAATTACAACTGATGTAGCAGGAAAAGTGGAAAAGAAGCCCACCACACCTGACTGAATAGCAATTCCAGCTATGAAATGATCCCTTGCATTGCCTTCCTAGGAGACAGGTAAACACGTGGCAAAGGCACAGCCATCACAGCTCATTTCAGCATGTTACTGTGCACTGGTACTAAATCTGTGGGACAACTTTTCTGTTTTCCCCTTTAGTACCCAAATCTTCAGCTGTTCTTAGCATCTTTTCACTGGCTCCAGTGAAATCACTGGTTTACAGCAGCCCATCTGCTCTAACACTTGCTAATTTAATTTGGAGAGAATGACTGTGAAGGATCAAAAGCAACACATTTTACTGAAATACTCTATTTTGCTTTTCTTAGATGCCCTTTCTGAATCCACTCATAGCAAGTTTTAATCCTCTTCCCATTGTGAATACTCATAACTTAATCCGTACATAACTTGAAGATACCTGGCAACTGCCAGATACCTGAAGAGCAGAGTTCGGCTCAAATACATGACCACCCATGACTGACCACATTGGCTACAGCCACTGCCACCTTTCTTACACACCAGGGTGCTTCCTGAAGGCCATCTGTACAGAAGCAGGGTCATGCAAGACCCCTCTGACTTGTAGCCCACCTTCTCAGATCTTAACCTGTATTTATGATTGTCTTCTGTATTTTATACAAAATAGAACATGCATATAGTCCTTCTGTGTGCTGTACCTTCAATTTCCTCAAAGCACTTGTCTTCTACGTCTTGGAGCTCTTCTCTGTTTGTTATCATAGGCAGACAAACATTAATATTTTTTTCACAAACGTGAGGGCTGCCTCAGGAGGAAAGCACCTCACAGCTTAGATCAGTTCCACCTGTTTTTCCTGTCTTTTCATTAGTGTCCTGATTTGTATTCAGTTCCCTGGAAGCATTCAAGGCCAGGTTGGACGGGGCTCTGAGCAACCTGATCTAGTTAGCAGTGTCCCTGCTCACTGCAGGGGGGTTGGACTAGATGACCTCTAGGGATCCCTTCCAACCCAAAACATTCTATGATTCTATGATTCTAATAAAAATACTTTCTTCTACTACAGAGTAGTAAAAATGTGACAGCCAGGTGCATAATGGTCAATTCAGAAATGCAGTTGCTTACCTCTGCCAGGCTGCAAAGGAAGTAGTAAAAAGAACGTCTACTGCTTCTAGAAAGGCAAGGAAACGTACACACATTGTACGTGTGTGAGCGCTGGGCACAGCAAGCAGTCGTCACGAGGTAACGGTGGCTGTAGTCACAACATGGCTGCCTCTGAAAGTGGGCTGATTTGCAGAAGTATGACCACTCTACAGTTACTGCTCTACAGTGAACATTCTCCTGACTATTCCACTTTTTCCTTCTACATCTCAGTATCTTGTGCCTCCTGACACAAACCCTGTCTGAGTGCAATCGCAGGAAGCCTGGCAACTGGCAGATGGTTTTGAAACATAATAAATAAACCAGGAATGTTTTTCACCACCAGTAACTAATTTGGTTGTCACACTCTGAAAACTTCTTGGTCTTGATTCTTGCTTTTACTTTTCAGCCTAATTTTGCTCTTTTGTACACCGTCTTATTTATAGAACAGGCAGGTTAGATGGTTTGTCTAATTTTGGTTTATTTCTATTAGCAAGGGCAAGTCCCATTCATAATGCCATAATAATAAGTTTTATGAATTATCCAGTTGCTAGGAAGTGCCTATGTCTGACATAAGCATTATTTTCTCCTTATCTTGTGCAAGTCTTCCAGGTATCCCTTCCAAGTTGCACTGAATTGGAGTACAGGTGTTTCAAGAGTCTGGGGGGCTGCCAGACCTAGTCTATCTTTTAAGGATGTGAAGGTGTTCCAGAAGGCTCAAGCCACACTTCTGCACACGCCACATCACAGGGTAGGAGAAAGCAGCTGGAGGTTCTCACCACACAACACCCTCCCCCGACAGTCACCCACAGTTCCTCTGTTCTGGAAGATGGAAACAGAATGGCTGTAATAGCAGTCCTATTCTTAGTAAATCTGCATTTCAGTTTCTTGCTGTCACAGTACAGATAGTTTGATCCCTGTTGCACATTCTGTCGGATGCTGGAGGACAGACATAGTTTCCAGTAGATCCGGTGCCTCCTCTCTCACAGTCAAGAGTATTTCCAACTTCTTCTTTGGACAGTTCTATATCTGGCTAAGCCCCTCTGCTAGTTATTTAGGAGATAATAACGCAATTTTAAGGCAAAACTGTCACAGATTCATGTACTTAAAGAACAGCTTCCAGATAATGGGAGATTTTAAGCACCCTTATCACATCTTCATGGCCCATTGTGACCTGCCTTTTGCAATCCCTAACAAATTGAGGATTAAATTTCTTGACGCCCAATGCCCCATGGCAAGCTGACTCACAGATAAAGAGATTTTTGAAACTAAGTATTCCAGGATCACAAGAAGTTTAATGGTACATTAAGTGTTTGTATAAAAAGTGCTTTTGACTCTATGTCTGACATCACTGTATTCCATATAGATGCTTTCTCAGATATTCTAGCTGTTCACCTTTTGTTGACAGAACCATGGAATTCCATTCAAAGTGAGGAATCTGTAGAACAGAATCATGCAGAGTGTTAACATGGGTATAAGCCACATACCATCTTCCAGCAAAGAAAACGTGCTCTGATACTTGTTCTCCACTTGAAGGTATTTTATCAACTGTCTCCTCCTAAAAGCTAGGCTTATTCTAATTCTGAAATGATTAATTTCTCAATGCCAGGTTCAGTTTGCTTCCAAAAAGCAGCATAGGTGCAGAGACGTAAAGCAGATGCCCACGCAATACAGGCTATGACAACTCCATTACACCATCTCCCACTTTTGAAACCATCAAGAGAAAAATCCCAGGTCGCTATTGTTTGTAATGGTAATGTATCAAGCTGGAATGGTGTATCAGTAGCATAACATGCACTGTCAGGGAAATAGGAGAAAGGATGATTATCCTGTTTAAAAAAAACGAAAATCAAAGCTTAAAGAAGGACTGTAGCTAAAATTAGAGTAGGTGAATAATTACGTATACAAGATAACCTGCGTTCATGAGCCTCCATTACCCAAATGTTTCTGTGCTGGTGGCTGTGAATTATCTCTGGCCCCTAGTCTTCTCTGTCACAGCACTATCACTGCAGCAGACAGCCAGCATCCATATCCCATCTTGCAGCTGCCGTAACTGTCTCTCGTATCACTCCAGGAGGGTATGTTCAATCTTTTTCTAGTGTGGAAATCTTTGGTGAATTGAACTGAAATTCTTGTTTCACTTTTTCTTCTTTACTCAGGCTACGTCGAGATTGCCAGTTTGCCTGCAGTAAAGTAAGGCTGAGACCTTTGGACTTCAGTCTTGCTGCAGCCTCTTTCAGAGAAGGTGCGAATTCTCTGAAGTTCTTACACCATCTTGAGAACAGCTTGTAATTTCCCCCCTAACTACAAAAATTGCTCTCACCCAGTAGGTGCTTTTAACTATTAAAACTGTCTTTAAATCTGCCGCAAGGAAAATGTATCAATCTGCACTATTGATCTAACTCAGAAAGGACATAAAATATGGCTGATTGCTCACCTGAACTACTCGGTACCCCAGCATTTCCAGGTGTCGTTTTTTCACTGCAGGTTCTCCTTTCAGGTGACGTGAATCTTTGCTAAATGCTTTTGAATCAAGAAATTCCAAAGCAATTCTGCAAATAACAAAAATGTGCATTTACTTTCAGGTCCTACCTGAATGGCAAGAAGTGGTATTTCTAGTTCAGTACTGATAGTTGCAGCAAGACTATTACTAGATAAACCTGACAATTCACAGAAGAAGAAAATTAAACAACTCCCTGAAACTAGACAAAGCATTTTCCTCATATTTATCTAGAGATACTTGAACTTCAAATGCTAGAAAAAGTGTTTCCTCCCTGCATCTGTTTTTGCTCAAATGGCAAAAACAGCTAACCAGCATTTTCAAGGCTTATAGTTGAAGAGGTGGGAGGAAAACACTATTCCCGTCTCATAAAACACATTTCAAAAACACCCCATCTGCCCTAATGTACTGGGTCTGACTGGGATGGAGTCACTCTGCTTCAGAGCAGCCTGTACGGTGCTGTGTTTTGGATATGTGACCAAAACAGTATTGATATCACACCAGTATTTTGGCTATTGCTGAAGAGCACTTGCACAGCATCAAGGCCTTGTCTGTTTCTCACTCTGCACCCATGGTGTGCAGGATGGCATTGGCAAGAGGTTGGGAGAGGACACAGCTGGAACCTCAACTGGCCAAAGTGATATTCCACACCATATAACATCAGGGGAGGAATTTTTCCAAAGAAGCCATTGCTCCAGCATTGGTCTGCTGATGGTGAGTGACTGAATTTGCAGCAATTGTTTTCTCTTCCCTTTTTGTTTGGTTGGGTTTTTTTGGTTTTGTTGGTTTTGGTTGTTTTGGGTTTTGTTTTTGGTTTTTTCTTTTTTTTTTTACTTCTTTCTTCTCTTCACTTATTAAACTGTCTTAATTGCAATCCAGGAGGTTTTTTTCCTTGCTTTTGCTCTCCAGATTCTCTCCCCCATCACACTGCAGGGGAGTGACTGAGCAACTAGGTGGGAGCTCAGTTGCTGGCTGGGGTCAACTTCATCAGGCTTTGGAAAAAGGAACAGAAAAATAAATAGCCTAGGGGTTGCAACAACCATTTTGGACATAAGCATCAAAAACCTGGTCTAAATGTGATCTAGACTTGGAAGCTTCGAAGAGCTAATGTGCAAGAATTCAATGTACTAACTTCTGAGCTCCTGGTGGCAGGGCATTTCTCCCTTCATCCCTGATGTCATGTCTCAAGTGTATTCCCTCCACACCATCCATATAGGATAGAGGCTTTTTATTTTCATCCATAATGCACTCAAAATCTGCAAGAAACCACAACAAATCTGTTTACTGACCAATGAAAAGTGAAAAAAAACTGACCTGTGCAGTGTTTACTTCTAGAAAAACTTAAGTGATAACCATAATAATCCAACATTAATTAATCTAATGTAATTTAAAACTTCAGTGATAATCAAAATAATCCAACATTATTTATATTATGCAGATATTTTTAGAAACTATTTCATACAGCAATTTCTTCTTTGCAGTATCTTGTGGCCACATGCCCAAGGGCTTCCTAGTCTTGGTGATAATAGTGATATCAGAGGTCTCCTTAACAACCCTAAGAAGATTAATGTCTCACCTATTTCATAGTAGTATGTTGTGAGAACAGATATTCTTGCATAATGGCTCCCTCCTAAGATCTCTGTCAGCATTCTGTGAACATGTTGTCGCAGTGGATTTATTCGGCTACTGCCTACAAAGACAAAATAAAGAATTCATACATCAAAACTTCCACAGCCGAAGTTTTGAAAATAGCACTTTGTGACACTGCATTTTTGACAGCCAGCCTACTGAGTTAAAGCTTTTCTGCAGATCCCTGGTGTTATTCCATGGTAGTTCAGAGACCATGTGATCATCTTTTGGGTGGAAAGTGGCAGGTGCCTATTAAGCATGAATTTCAAATCCAGACCTTCCCTCCCAGGATTTTTCAGGTTTCACCTGTTGGACTTTGTTTGCTTTTAATCCTGCTTAGACACTTAGTTTTTGCATCTATTACAGGCACACCACACTATCTGTCACTTCTCTGTCTGTGTCACACTGTTTAATACCTTGCTGCATTAAACATCTTCAGTTGCAGCGATAAAGCAGCTGAGTTCGATGGACAGCAAAGCAGATCTCCCCCACGAGAATCAGTGGAGGAGGAGATACTGAGTTTGCAATAGCTGTATTTTCTGAACTGATCGCTATTCTGAAAGATCTCAGCTGCTACACTTGATGACTAGCCTACTTCTCCACTTCTCATCCTTGATGGATCTTGATTCTTCTGAGGAAGATGACAGCAGTGAATTCAAAAGGAGGCAGCAAAAATGTCCACCCTAAAAAACTTAAGTCAATTGTTCAGTCTTGTAAGTGAAGCAGGGATCAAAGTGACCCATCTCCTCCAGCAGACAATCCTAACGATCCTCTTTCTGCCTCTCCATCCTCCATGCATATACACCATTTCTGTGTATTTAAATTTTATTTCTTATGAAGAGATATCCCATCTCTGTTACATTTTCAGGGGAGAACTGCTTTACTATCTGTTGCACTACTAAGCGGTTGCACTTTTCAAGACGACATCCTCAGCAGACAGTGGGGTGCGCCTTTCTGAGCTTCTGTTGTGCGCTAGTGTCAACAGGATGGTTTTAGAAGCATCATCTAGCAGACTGTTGAAAATAGACTATTACTAGTAACATGGGCAGCTTTTCCTCTCCTAAATTACTTACTGTTACGAAAGACACGTTGGCAGTAGTTTTCGTGAAACCAAGGGATGTGAAACTCTGGGCATTCCAGACAGACTGCTCTGTTCAGTTTCATGAGGCACAAGCGGACCCTCTGCTTTAGGGTATCAGGCAGGACTGAGTTAAACAAAATAAAAAGGTGTGAACTGAAATGTGAGAAATCCAACACAGTGAAATAAATGGCTACCTTTGAACTCTTTACTAGAGATGCAAATATCTGTATACTATACAATTTACAAAATTCATGCTGCAGAATCTTAGAAAGGTTCTCAAAACCCCTCAGAAAAAAATTTAAAATAACAGTTTTGCTCAATATTAAGAACAGCAGCAAGACAGAAGAAAGCTGGAATTTAAACTCTCTTCTCTCTTTTAACTTTTAACAAAACGGTTGAATGCAAAATGGCAACAGTACCTTGATAGTGAACAACGTACAGGCAGAGAGGAAGGAAACAGACACTCAGTCTCTTATTTAGAGAGAAGAGACTGGTAGGACCCATTTCTTACAGGCAAGAATTCCACATTATTTCTCGAGCTTTGTGACTATTTCTAGTAATAAATACCACACTCAGGTAATTTTATTTCCAATATAATTGAAGAATTCTTAAATACTGAATGTAATAAGTTGACTATAAAATTTAAATGAGCTTCTTTCATCTGCAATACAAGTCTGTACTTTTAAAAACAAAGCACAAGTTTTTGTTCATTCCTTCCCTTTTAGCACTTGAATGATGACTAGATTATATGGAGGGGTTTTTCCAGAAAACGGAATCGTTTAAAGAGAAATTCTACTTTTTGAGTCATATATAGTTCCACAAATCCATTTAATACCAAACACTACATAATCAAATCCATCAGAGAGCTAGATATCTACCTTCAAGCTGAGCATCCAATTTGCTTAGGAAAGAAACATTAAATATCCTCGTTATCAGAACTGGAGGAAAATATCCAGCCATTGCCAAAACATGACCAAGCAGCACCAAGTGATAAGTTTCAAAAGAACCTTTAAAAAACAAGACAGAAATTCATATTGACACATGACATAAAGTTGAAGGCATTTGTAATGCCCTCCCCCTGACCTCCCAGATCATACAAGCTTCTCTCTTAATGTAGTAAATGAAGACACAGTAAGATTAAGGACTACCTCTGCTAACTGCACCAAGGCGTAAGGTAACTCTTGCCAGGTCTTTGCAGAACACTAGTTAGTCTTAAAAAAAGGCTATTTCAGTAGACAACAAATTTTCACAGTTCAGTGAGGCTGTATCATCAATCAATCAAAAAATAAAAAGTCTCTGCAAATTTCTTCTACAACTTAGCTATTTCTTTGTGATGAAACACAAAATGTATCCTGTCCCCAAATGATTCCTTGGGGAACACCACAACAATTCTATCCAATAACAGTACAACAAATTAATCAGAATTTTCACTTGCTTTTTACTATGCTCAAGATACCTTGCTAGTCCCTTACCAACAGTAATTTTTAAAGGGTGAAATGAAGCTAGAAAACCCAACAGAAGCATACATCAAATCTTTGTTGTGGTTTAACCCCAGTAGGCAGAGTATTAGTACTAACATACAGACACACTTTTTTCTTTGCTTAAAGAAAGAAAAGCCATTCTATTCCCATTTTATTCAGTACAAGTATCCTCCAATGATTATTTATTTGGTGTCAGAATATCTTTGTCTAATGCACTTACTCAATTTAGAAGTAAGATGTTGGATACAACTCTCAAAGAACTCCTCACTGGCAGGAGGGTCATAATTCAGAGCAGAGAAAAGGAAGAGAATAAAATAGATTTCAAAGGGGTGGATCTGGAAAAAAGACATCCTAAATTAAGTCACTGCAAAATATCCTAATATTGCTTTACAATTTAAGACTACATGAGCTATTTTCCAAATTCTAAATATTTTTTTTGTCAGCTTTTCCTAGAGAAAAATATTTTAAAATGCAGAAATCATTAAAATTGCAGCTATGGCTAAAACTTAAAATCTGTTTCATATATTCTGTACACTTAAAACTTCAAGCAGCTTTTAAAAAGGTTCCCATTAAATGCTTTTAAAGAAACTAAACTGTCATAGAATAAAATCAAAGATCTAAATATCAGATTGAGAAAAAAAAAAAAAAAAGACACCAAGAAAACACAGTGATTTTGACAAAAAGACAGTCTATTGGGGAAATCTCCACAAGAATAAGTAATGTAAAATATACACTGTGTGATGTGACTATTTGTGAAGAAGTTAAAAAAAATATTTAAGATGGTCAAATGTAAAGCTGAATGCAAAGGATTACGGTTATCCTAACACTGCCTGAGCAATAAAATAAGAAAGGAAAATTAAAGAGAAGTGCAAAATAATGCACATGGAAGAAAAGCAGCTTTGATTGAACACATAAAAAGATGAGCTCCAAATCAGGTACACTGAAGAAAACTCTTAGAAACGCAGTGTGGACTGTGCTCTGGAACACATTAACTGCTAACCTGTCCTTCTTACTGAGTAACTTGCACAGTAGATAGAAAGAAAAACTGCAATACCTTGCCTATATTTTCAACAGTCACAGAAGCTATTCTATCAAGTAACAAAGGACAACGTTGGCTTGTTTTTATGAGAAAACAAGACAACTGTAATACATTTGCCCATGTTATTTGGTCTGCCAAACATTGACACACGGCCACAGCTTCTTCACTGAGGACTTCTTCAAACCACTCTCCATTCGCATGTGTGAGTTCTTCCAACAGAAGATTTAAGTTGTTGGCTTTTTGAAGCCTCTGAAATCCACAGTCATTTAGTTTTTGCAGAAGCTTTACACATAGCTCAGATCTGTTTTGCCAGTGCAACTGGTCATAATGATTCCATTTGACAAGAGCTGTAGCAATGCAATTCAAATGATGGAGCCTGCACTGAGGCAGAACTGCTGCTGCTTTGTTTATAATGATTTCCTCCACTTGAAAGGAAGGAAGCATGGCCAGAACACGAATTATTGCAGCAGTATCAGCAGGTATGACGCTAGATTTTAAAAAACTGGAAGAGAGACAGAAATAAAAACAGACCATCAGTACTGACAAAACACAAATGTTTAAAAAAACCAAATAAATTACGTGAATGAAAACTCTATTTTAAAAGTCAAAAGCTGCACATCAAATGTAAAATAAGTAGAATATTAATGACATGGTAGAAATGGACAGTTACTGACTACCACTTTTTTCACTGAGATTAACTTCTTCCTTCTAATTTATTCATAACTGAAAAAGGGAAGACAGGGAGCATCTCAGAAAGCTGGTGAGGCTTCAAGAGTTACTGATAAACACAGAAATCCTTTGTAAGGGCAGAAGTCTACGTGTTTCTGGGTCTGGGTAATTTCTGTGACTGCTGTCCTGAGGAGCACCAGGTTTGAGGCGCCTGAGGAACATGAAGGCATCTTCCACAAAAAACACATACAGCCAGGGCACTGCATTCTTACAGAAGCTCAGCAATGGAAGTAACAGTGACAGATCTCTTCTACCACAATTCCAGAAGCGGTTTCCCTTTCTATGTTGCAACTGTACAAGCCTGAGAACTAACTAGACAGTTCCTAATCAAAAGAAGAGTACTTCTGCCTCAAACTTGCACTTGTCCCAACCATGGCATTCTTACTGTTTATTTTTCATTACTTGTTCCTTCAAACATCAAAGATGGCATTAATACCTACCCATCCTATAAAGTACCAATCAAAATTTCCTGTTCAATGTAATTATATTACAGCAGCCAAGGGGTAAGGGGCAAACAAATCTATTTTTAAAAGATATCATACCTATTAGCAGATACTATTGGGTCTATAGTCAAGACAATAGCCACTTCCTATGCTCAGATTTATGTGTTTAATAGAATCAAATACTTTTAACAGTTTGTTACTTCTTCACATTTTAAGGAAACAAAACAATTCATCTTAGCTTGTTATTTAAGACACTAAGTAGACAACTGTGTAATACTTAAGTAGCTACGTTTCCAAGAATACACACTTACCCAAATAGTAACATTTTTAGTTTGGCAAACAGCTCCAGATTGTGGCAACGCAACACCACCAAGTACTGTGTTAACTTTACCAACTGTAATACATGATAGCTATCCAAGTGTTTGTGCAGAATAGAAGCCATTCTGAATACAAAGAGAAAAAGATGACATGGTATTGAGCTAATACAGAAGATACTGAAAAACCCAACATCCCACATGAAGAAGGGGCGTCCCATGGTGTGCAGTACCTAGGCAGAGGGTTACACACAATGCTCTCCTCTTCACCCCGGTTTTGACTGCGTTCCACTAAGACGCAGCAGCTTCTCTCAAATTGCAAAATTGAAGCCCTCATCACAGCAAAACAGCTACCTCACTCTAGTAATTTCTGTTGCAGATTTTACAAGCAGTTAAATTTAGAGTGGACCAAGAATGGGATAAACTAGAACAGCATCACCAGTTTCAGCACTGCTGTACTCACTTATATAACTGGTTGCTACAGCTACGTTGGTTTAAAGCTGCAAGAGGGGGCTTGTTTTGTAG